TTAGTTTCACTTATTTTATTATAGTTTTGTAATTATGTATATAGCAGCCAACTTAATTAGCCTTACAATTAACAACAGTATAGCCTTTTTACTAAATTGCGTCGTTCAATTAGCGGCCTGAACGATATTCAGTCGATGTGTCTAAATACAACATTGCACATATCTGGTAATGTCAGCGACAGTAGGTTAGATGCCTCTAGAGTGGCCCTTGAGCCATCCTAAAGCCGCGTACATTTATATAATAAAGCACATAGCGCATGATTATTAATAGGGTGACCATGATATGTAATGTCTAGCCTGTTAACTGAAAGACTAATTAAGCTAGTTGACTACAACATAATATATACTTCAACATTTCCATTCATTTTTTAATTTAAGTTTAATTTTAATTTAATCTTAAACATTTTATTCTATTGGTATTGGTATTGGTAATACAGGAATCAATCGTCAATATTGGTGTGGGGTGGATATCATAATTTTTTCTCGAGATTAAGACTAAAAAGTGCCAAAAAGTTCACTAACGCACGTTTATTAACACAACACAAATACAGGGAGTGGTAACATTAGGAATCCCGATACGTAGAGATATTAAGTTGAATTCGGACTTCGAAAATCTGATCCTAATCTCCCAAAGAGAAGCTTCTGATTGATTGAGAGGTGTGCTGTGTTCCTTAAAAAGTGAATCTTTATGTAAGAGAATGCATTCGTTTCTCGCTTTTTCATATCTGATGACTTGACAAGATAACCCAAACAATGATTCAATTGAGAATCTAATGAGGCATTATATCTTAGTCCTCAGGGGTGGCAACGTATCTGCATTTTGATTCTTAATCGAGGATTGATATAGATGGGATTGATATAGAAAATATATGGGCCACAACAACCCCTTACCACCAGGTGGACTGTGTGCTCGTTTGTCACCCTTATTCAATAAAAACAATGTATGCATGTATTATGAATGTAGTGGTATGATATTATTTTACTTTCTTTTCATCCACTTCCGGACATCTGAATAATAATCTGAAACTTTGCATTAACAATACTATATATAACAAAGCGTCAGTAGCCCAATGGGACAGCGCGGACCGCGAACTCGAAAGGTCGTGGGTTCGAATCCGCCATTGGACTACGGTCGTGAACCACTTCTAACACAAGCATTTTAAGCTTACTAGAAGTGGTTTAAGGGAATATTAGTAATGTTTAATAGCATTACTAGTATTTTTTTAAATTAAAGAAAAAACATATCCATACCAAACTAGTATTTTCCTCACTAGGATAACCACAGCACATCACACCAACCATTTATTGGGTGGTAGGACTCGTTTTCTTCCTAGAAATCCGTCTAGGCTTATACGCGTCTACCACCACCGCCACCTCTTACCTTTTCTGCCGCCTAACAGCAGTTCTTGCACTGTTGTACTCCGGTTTGAAGTAGACATGGAACGAGTAGTGATTCGCCGAGTATTCGGCCGCCGGGTACTCGGCCTAGATTGGGCCGAGTACTCTGCCGAATACTCGGCTTTAAAAAAACGCGGTAGCGGGCAGCGTGCGGTTATTTCCCTTACAGACTAGACCCAAATAGGACCTAAAAACTAGTGTTTTTGCATCACAATCTTCCTCTCGTAAATTTTAAATATTAGTAATAATAATTTCTATTATACTCGTAGATTCTTATGTACGTTCTAAATATTTCTGCTGCTTCTAATGTTCCTGGTGTTTATATGTGTCTAATATAATAATAATGATTAAAACTGGTTTTTTGTCTTTATTTTTCTCGGGGATATAATTAAGGCCGAGTACTCGGTATTCGGCCGTTAATACTCGGTGCTCGGCCGAACCCTAAAAAAGGCCGAATCCGCCGAGTACCGAATCCAAACCGAGTACTCGTCCCATGTCTAGTTTGAAGGGTAAATAGAGCCAGTATAATTATTTCTTATATTTACGCTAACACTACACATTAAATGAAACTAATTTTTACGGATATTAATTTAAAAAAAATCACAAATAAAAGTTGAATTAAACGCGATAAAATCCGTATAAATTAGTTTCATTTAATAACCAGTCTCTGGGATGCATGCCAACTTAGTCATCAGAGATGACAACGCATATTGTGAAGTTAGTTGCAGGTGTGCAGTTCCTGCAGTAACCATTACCACCAGATTGACTGCAAGTTCGCTTGTCACTTGCTTGTTGATAACGCGTGTCGTTGAAGTGTTTTAAACTCTAATGTAATATGTTTACTTACTTATAAGCGCATGCAAACATTTTGTTTTTAAATTGTAAAGTCACTGCGTATATTAAAACATTTTTGTAGTAACGACTCTAGAGCTCGAGATCCCTTTCTCTTTCATTGCATTTCCGTGGCCTTAATTGTTATTATTATATTTGCTTCTCGACTCGACGACTTCCAGTTTTGTTGCAATGTCATGAAATAATAACCGTAATTATTTTATATATTCATCATCATCATTGCAGCCCTACAAGTCTACAGCTGAATGTGGGCCTCACCCAAGTAATCCACAATCAGTGCGTGTTGCCAATTGACATTTGAGACGTTGTCCTTCACTGCTGGCCGTATGAGGAAGCTCAAGCGAACTATTTTGAGAGACTCTACGTGATGACGAGATACTCTACGTAGAGACTTAGAAATGATATGCGCAGTAAAACCACAGTAACCGACATAGCTTGGACTGTGGTTCGTTGGTGAATCGGTGGGCTACCGTATCGTGCCGTTGGGGCTAGTGTACTAATCCCTCATATTATTTGTGATCTCGGTATTTGAGGGGTCGGTGATTTTGGATCCCGAAATTTGCGAGGCACAAGTGGGAACCGCAGGTAACAAATTTTGATAGATGATGGATACACGATGAGAAGCAGCTCTCCGTGAAATATAAAAGTATATTATATTCAAAAATAAATTTATCAGAGATAGTTTGAAAGTGGCCCCTGTCACGTAAAAGTTGAGAAGTGGTGGGCTAGCGTGGAATGGGCAAATTATGCGAAAGGAAGTAAATCATGTAACAAGAAGAATGGTGGCTATGAAAGTGGATGGATGATGATGGATAACCATAGAGGGTGGCTTAAGAAAACATGGTTGGAATGTATTAGGAATGAAATACGTAAGAAAGGAGTGAGTGAGGAGATGACGACTGCTAGAACACAATGGAAAAGGAAGATCAGCGAGGCCGACTCGAAATAACTTGAGATACGGGCAGGAAAAAGAAGAAAACACTTAAAACATATTATACCCTACCTGAACCTATTCACTTCAAAAACGTTTACTTCAAAAAAGGTTTCGAAATAGAATTCGACTGTAATTTTTGTGTGCTGCCACAGAACTTTTTTCTAGGTGAAACGATTTTGATGATGCTTTTTTATTTGAAAGGAGGTGCTTCTCATGTGGTTCCATATAAATTTGATCAAGATCTGTCCTGTAGTTTTTGAGTTATCCTTAATAATGCGTATTTAATTGACTTTGATTACATTGATGTTACCATGTTATTTATATCGAAGTCAGTTGTACAATATTTTTAATTCTTGTAAACATTGTTTTAATTACAACGTAGAAATTATTATGGAATTTCATCAATTATAGATCATTAAAATGTGTTTGACAACCATTAAGAGAGTTTGCATTCTCTGAATCATTTATTCGACTTATTACACAGTCGTTAACTAATCATATTTAATGTTTTGAAAAAAAAAAAACCTGATCACTATTTAAGTTCGTCTCCTTGTAAATTTTTCTTCTTTTAATTTATTGTATATTATTTTATATTTCTGTAATAATTTTAGATACAAGATACAAAGAGAAACAAAGCGCATAAAGTCACGTGCACAATTTATTCTCAATCAATTTACCTCTCCCTTTTACTGCTCTCCTAAAATTAGTTCCGGCCTCACGAAACCAAGGAAGATACCTAACGTTCGATTAAGTAAATCAATCGATAACCGTATAAATCGATTTAGCAAAAATAACAACTTCGATAGTAAACTTTTATACAGTAGAACGCATTGCGTAATGTTTTAAGAAAAAAAAATAACGAGATATCGATTAAGAAATTTTTATCGCTCGATCCCTCCCTCGGCATCGTTCGGAACTCGGCAGTCTAGAGCGCGGCGCCCGACGTGACGGATGTGTTGTAGAGCGGCGATTAATATAGCGTTAACGCGTTACACAAAACCGAATTTAACGTTTTAAAGAGCGTGCTATTTCTTGCAAATAACTCGCAGTTTTAATCGGGTAATTGTTTTTTATTGTATTTATAATTCGTTGAGATATTGTAACCGGCTTGTTCAGTGCGTGTGTCTTTAACTTAAATGTGAATGTGCGTGATATCAGATAGTTTGCCGTCTTATGATTTTAATGATAAAATAAATAAACTCCACACATAACCCCATTTGTTGAAGCCTTTTACAACATGCAGCTCTAGGTATTCGTTTAATCTCCGCGCAATCTCGTGTCAACAGTTTGTGTTGTCCTTTATCTTTGTAATAAGCGGACTTGTGACTTCATGGAAACTTGTGTAGTACCTATGATTTGTATTATCTTTGAGTGTATCTATCATACTATCGAACTTGTATTTTGTCTACATTGCGAAATATAAACAAAATTTAATTGCGGTTTGCATTTCTTTTTCATTATTCAAATATTAAAAAAAAAAATATTTGTATATACAAGTATACAAATACTTATCTATTACTTTATGACGGGAAAACTGTTCACCGCGCCGTGAGTGTAGTGGATTTTCGTGTAGTGGAGTTGTAAGATAATCGACAAAGGGACATGAAGCAGCAGAATCTTTCTGATGACAACTCACAATAAAAAAAAACTACCTTTGCCAACACGCTATGAAGCAATCTACGGGAGAAATCTATGTTCAGCACTAAGCTTTTGATAGACTGTTATGATAATGGTGATGATGTGAATGTAGAACATGTGAATCATCTTCAATACTGTTTTAGTTTTCAATATAATAATTCGCTGTACTTTCTTCCAGGTACGCGTAAAATGGACCGCGAGGAAGGAGGTAATCAGTGAAGTGCTATAGTGTTGTGTGCGACCGTAAATAATAACGTTGGAAAACCAGTGGTGATGATGATGTGAGAGACTGGTGACAATGCCGTCGGATTGTGGTTCATCGTGGTCGCCGCCCGCCTCCAATAGCGAGCGGCGGCTCAGCAACTCCTCAGATGGAAGCGCTTGCAGTAGTTACTCAAAAACTGTAAGTACAAATTTAATCTAGTTTTCTTATTTTAACTATCACAAGCCAGTGCTTGACTAATATCCCATCTGCTGGCTGGTAAGTGGTGATGCAGCCAAATATTCATTCTTGTCTTGAAGACATCCAAATTTTAATCCGATAAAAAGACAGATTACAATCCTTTTTTGTATTTCATCATGAATAACGAAGCAAGTATAGGAATAATAAATTAATAAGCCAGCAAATTAAGGAAGAAAATAGGGAAATATTGTAAGATATCATCAACATTTACCATTACAGCCCCTTACAAGCCCACCGCTAAACATAATCCTCCCCCATGGAATGACATAAACAACGGTCCTAAGCCACCTGCATCCATAAACTTTCTGCATCTCTTACCAGATCGACACTAACTTGTGGGTGGCTCTACATTTTGCTCACCATTACGAGGCTGCCGCACATCGGTTGTCAATACTCCAAGCTTTCATGGCGAGCCCATTGCCACTTCAGCTTACTGATCCGTTGGACTATGTCGGTTACTTCGGTTCTACTGCGGATATCCTCATTTCGAAATCTATCAAGCGGAGAAATTTCGAGTGTAGCCCCTTCCTTAGCTCCATATAGTAAGCTATTGGCGTTATGTAATTGTTGTTTGTTTTTATTACGAGATTTTATTTTTATTAAAGTTTTAATCTTTACGCTGTGGATATGCGTTAAGCAATATTATCCGAGATTGCGATTACTTACAGGCAAGCGAATAAATAAATACGGCTGTGTGACGTAGCGTGTAATTATTTGTCTTGCAATCGTTTCTATAACAGAAATTAGGTGCTTGTGTACTTATGAATGTAGTTGTCGACTTAGAAAAATTATTGAACAGATATGACGTGAGTTTGTAATGAATCAAATGTTTAATCTTTTGACTCATATATTGCGTAATGTTAATCTTGTATGTTGAAAACAACGCTGGATTTCTTGTTGTACAAGGTGCTCTATAACTGACCTGCGCAGGATTTTTTTTAAATATTAGGCAGATAAACGAATTTGCAACAGCGACGTGATGGTAAATGACGACTACTCAAACATAATATGGAATCATGTTGTTTATGAATGAGTAACATGGAAAAGCTTTAAAGAAAAAACTCAAACTCTTGAGTACTAAGATAAAATGCTTGATAGACTTTAAACTAGATTTATAGTGTTTTTTTTAGTTATTCAAACCAGAGGAACTCAACAGACACAAAGATGAACTCTCTTAGACTGAAAAGAAACAACCCTACTGTTTAGTAAATTACTTTCAATATACATTATATATTAAATCCATGTTCTATTATGTTCCTTATTTCTATCTATTGTATTAAATCAATAATAATAATAAATTTAGAACTCTGGCATCTACGTTTTTTTTTTAATTTCATTTATTCATTAATTACAGCCTATAAAAGTCAACTCGCCACGCTTCTTTTTAAATTTTTTTTTGCTACGCTTGGCAGGCGGGTTGGCAACCGCAGTTTTTTATTATTTGAGTTTTTATCAGGAATATGTTGCATTCCATCTCCTGTTTCATTTTCGACTCCCACGGGACGATATGGAGTAGTAGATGTTCTTAGATCCGCGACTACTTAATAGAAACTTACACTTAAAATATGCAACGGAATAATATTATTATTGTTTCTTTTTTTACAAACAAAGCATACCTAAATCATAAGCATATATAAATAGTTAAGTTTCGCCGACTTAATGCATTCGTAATTAGTGTAGATTAGTGACGGTCTACTTAAGTTTATATTTGGTTATAACGTTTCTTTTTTAAAAAAAAACTACAATCTTTCGCTTCTGAGGATTTTTTATTCGTCGTTGTATATTTTGTTTTTTGTAATCATATTAACAAGTGTTTGCCGTTATTACCTTTTAAGGTACCTACGAGTACTGTTTATATCTATATTTATTTATTTCTATAAAAGTAAATATATATAAGAACTATATAAGAACAACTTAGATGATTTTTACCTATAAAACTAAATGCTTATCACATAATAAAACTTGTATATTTGTTGTTAAATATTTTCAAATTCTTTTCAAATTGGTACTATTGCTAAGGCAAAAATTAAAAAATATATATATTGTAAATGAGAATCATTTTACTACAGTTATGATTCTAGGAAAATACAGTTTTAAAATGATTCATTAGTCTTATTACTCTTGCAAACCTATCGTATTTCTTATTTTATTTTAATTTGAGAACTAATAGATGCAAGTGCAAGCGAATGATCTAATTCACCGACCAAAATGAAGTCTAAAAGTTCTAGTTTTAATATCAATGAGATTTTAGAGTATGTATATTGTATACACATTCTTAATCTTTTTCTCCCTGTTAGAAAAATTTGTCATAACTGCCACACTTGGAGGTAGATTGTCCATCACAGTTCCAGACATGAGAACCACCAGGCGTACGACCATATTGACATCCACGCTCTCACAGAATACCTACGTGAAATAATAGCTTAATGCTGCTGTTTTGTGATATGCGAGTATAGAGTTTTATAGTGAGTTTAGAGAAACGGAGATCATTTTTACTGGAAACGAGGCATTCCATCGTAGTTCTCAAGGGTGACAACGCATCTGCATTTTGATTATTTACGTAGATACCTATTGGCCACAGCATCCGTTTACCATCAGGTGGACTTCGTGATCATTTGTCACTCTTAACCTATAAAGGAAAGGTTATCGCTAAGAGTGATAATAATGATGGCCTTCAGACCAAATTTCGGTCACGGTGGCCATTCTCGAGTGTTTCCGAGTGTATACGCAAGTATAGGTGCAATCTCTAATCCCTCACTGTCATAGTCCGAAGCGATGGTAATCCGACACGACCAGAGAAGAACAGGCACAGGACCGCGGCTTAACGTGCTTTCTTAGGCACGGCGGTGAAACTCCAACAACTTCCTGGCTTCGAGCAGCTACTGAGAAATTATTTAAAAACCCAATAACTGATCGAATAACTGATCAATAACTGACTCGGAATTCAAACCTCATGATCAATGGCCATTAGACCAACGACACAGTCGACTACCTCGTTAAGGGCTAAGATAGACAATTATTGTTTAACTTGCGTTAAATTAACGTTTTGACTTTAAAAATACTTTCAAGCGCACAAACTTTACTACGGATACAGTTATTCACTGTTGTATATTGTTATGCCCTACATTTTTTTTTATTTCTGGTCAGTCTGGTAACTGTTTTGTATTGCGTGAGAATTAATCCATTGTTAAAATGGTCTCTTTTGTAACTCAACCTTGAGATTTATAGATTGTTTGAAAATAGTAGCAAATCGGTGACGTGTTTAGCGACAATTTACAACAGTTTTAACACTTGTGATAGCTATTTTTTGCTAATTACGTTAATTTGTGTCACGTCATTGGTGTTGTGCTATTGTTTTATAATTATATTTTACGTGGCTATAGCTTTATTTTTATAACACTGAATTCGAACAAAATTAAATATATAAATTTTTCTATGCGCAGCTCAACCCGACATACAATAATTATGCACATCAAAGTTGCTCATTCGCAGAGTCTAAATGTAATTGCCCAGTTGTTTTATATACAAAAACTATTAAATATCTTGGAACAATTATAGTTTCTACTTTTACATTTAAAAACCACATACACCATCACTGTGCAGTAGAGTCGGTAAACTAATTCTTGTTTTTATATATATTGCCTTATGTCAATCGATTACCTCATGCGAAGGAACAGCTAAAACTACACTACTTTTCTGTATAATCAAGTCAATACAATTTTGTACATGTATCCATTACAAATGGCAGATTATAAAAATTTAATTCGGACATGGTTATAAATTTGTCATACGATGATACGGAAAAGTTGCCGATAGTTTTAAGTTAATTAATATCATTAGTAAATTAATGATAGTATATTTTAACCGAATTAGCCCTAAATAGTTGGTATGTTATTCATTTTATATAAGAAACAGAGAATATTTGTTAGTGTATCTATTAGCACATACAACTGAGATACAGGTTTATCCTAGTTCAGGTGCCTGTTATTGTAGACTATTTTAAATTAAGACATTATTTGAATTAATAGTACAGATTATTGAAATAAAAATTATTGTTATTATTATAATATTATACTTATATTGTTATTATTATATTATCATACTTGCGTCGTCGGCAGCCGAGTTGCAAATGATGGTTACATTAATGAACAGGACATTAAAAGAAAAGGGAATGAAAGTGAACGCAAGTAAGACGAAAGTTATGGTTTTTGAAAGAGAAGAAAGTAACACGATATGTGAAATAAGAATAGAAGGGGAGTTGGTAGAGCAAGTAGATGAGTTTGTATATTTGGGATGTGTATTTAGCAGGGATGGTAGATATGATAAGGATATAGAACGTCGAGTGAATGCAGGAAATAGAGTGAATGGGGCTCTACACTCTATTGTGAAAAGTCAGAATGTGTCCAAAAAGGCACGTATGGCAATTCACAATGCTGTGTTAGTACCTACTTTAATGTATGGTAGTGAAAGTTGGGTGTGGCAGAAGAAGCACGAGAGTAGAATAAATGCTGTAGAAATGCGGTCATTAAGGAGTATGTTAGGGATGCTGAATGACAGAGTGAGAAATTGTTTAATAAGAGAAGAGTGTGGTTTGCAAGATGATGTTGTGATCAGGATTAAGAAAGGAATGCTTCGGTGGTTTGGCCATGTAGAAAGAATGAACGAGGAAAGAGTGACAAAGTTAATTTATGTTGCAGAGGTGAATGGCATAGTCGGGAAGGGTCGCCCTAGGCGAAAGTTTATCGACCAAATTGGCGATATATTAAAAATGGGCCAAATCAAGAGTACCTTTAACCGACGAGCGTGTATGCGTAGGTATATGAATGTGGAGGAAGCGAGAGAGGTGTGTCAGGATCGTGCCAAATGGAAGTCCATAATCTCTGCCTACCCCTCGGTGACAGGCGTGAGTGTTTATGTATGTATTATGTATAATATTATTG